TGAAGATAATGATTGGAGCGGAGGGTGGTAAAGATCACAGAATCATAGTGCGAGGAAAGATTAGCCAAGTGTCATAGGATATTAATGATCTGTAGGGATAAAATGCCATTATTTAATGGATGAGGAAACAAGTCCAACCAGAAAGGTGAGGGGGAGGCAGAAACTCAGCCCGACTGGACCCAGGGGTCCTGAGCCTCTGAGCAAAGCCCCTTGTGTGAACTCATACAGCGTCCCCTACAGAGCAGCTCAGTTTAGGCGTTTTTCTCTTCTGGATAGAGATATGGCATTTTCAGCTCAAGAGGTTTTCATATTAAGACTATAGAAGACTTTTTGAAGTGGGTACAAGTTTCAAATTATATAGTTTGATTTTGTGGTTGGTTAAAGGCTCCGAGGATAAAAAAATCTAGGGAACAAGATCAGAAGAGAGGGAAAGGAATGGGAGAAAGGTAAGGAATGTGTGGAGAAATAGAGACAGGAAAGTGGGAGAGAAAATCCACAGAGGAAGAAAGAAAAGGGAGAATGACAGGTGGGGGGCAGACAGAAAGGCTCAGCGCATTTCAGAGGTACTGTACTCTGCACTTGTCTTCAACTAGAAGCTCCAAAGATGACCATTTGTTTTCTTTTTTTTTCCAAAGGAAAAAGGTTTAATATAAAGATTCAAGATTCACATCATGATAAATGATTTAAAATTGAATACATTCTTCTGACAAAAGTTCAACTTTTCCATATTTTCCCTATTTAACTTATCCTGCCATCTTTTTTCCTGTGTTTTTCTATTACTTTCACTTCACCTCTCCCTATGGTTACATTGACAGATTCCCTCCCTCTCCCCAGTAGTTTAGAAAGCCTAGTCTTGCACAAGCTACAATGATTAACACTAATTTTAACACAGCCTTTAACTTCACCAACATCTAAGCAGTATCTGTAACCTTCCTTTCCCCTACTCCCCAAGTATACTGTTCACAGTCCATCCTCCTGGGTAGAAATGTGGCATTTTAATTTCATTTTCCTTTTTGACTCTTGCTGTGGGAGGAAGGTAATATATATTGTGTGCACATGTTTATAGTCATCCTAGATTGCTAAAGCATATCCTCCAGTAATTCTTTCAAAGAGGGTATGCAAGAAACAAACTGTGAATTTTTTGGTATCAAAAAATGTCTTTGTTTACCCTTCAAAATCAGATGCCAATTTGGCTGGGCATAGGATTCTAGGTGTAAAGCCTTTTGCCTGCAGAACTTTTATGACATTGCTGCACTGACTTCTGGCATCTAGAGTATCTAATGATAAGTCTGCAGTCGCTGATTCTTGTTCCTCTGTAGGTTATATCTCTTTTTCTGGAAGCCTTTAGGATTTTTTCTTTATCACTGGAATTCTCCAATTTCACCAAGATTTGTCTAGGAGTGAGTCTCTTCTCATCAATCTAACTAGGTATTCGGTAAGCACTGACAACCTCAAGATTTGAATCCTTTAGCTCTGGAAAGTTTTCTTCAATGATTTCCTTAATTATTTCCTCTGCTCCATTCTCTTTATTATCTTTTTCTGGAATTCCTATCAAATGGATGTTGGAACTTCTGGATCTATCCTCTATGTCTCTTCACCTTTCTTTATTTATTACCTGTTTGGCCAATGGCCAATGAAGAAAAAACAAATAATGACCATTTGTTTTGCACGATTATTCTGAATGCCTGATGAACTCTCTCAACACTATTCAAAGCTCTTCAACTGCTTGAGAACTTAGGCCTTTGAGCCTGCACTGCTTATCAGATAATAAGCAGAACATTCTGCCAAGGGAAGATACAAACTTTTAACCACAGTAACAGTAATCAGAGCAGACCATCTTTAAGTCTTAAGAAAATCAAATCAGTAGGTCACATTCTCTCATCCTAAGTTTCTTTACCCCTGCTTTGAAGACAGGGCATTGAATTTCAGCTGTCTTTTATTCTGGGTCAGTCAACACTGGATTTCCTATAATAGGAAGTTTTTGATCAGTAAAAGAAATATTGTGAAATTTAAGTCTTAGGACTTCTCTTCACTAGAGACACACAACCTACAAAAAGGGAAGTTCACTGTAAATCATCTGTGAAATTATCTGAGACAAATGGTGACTATGACATAGCATTTATGCTTTTAATAATGACTTTTACAAGAAAGCAAGTCACACTAAGCCCCTGCGCTGGAACAAGAGATGTTTGTATCAGTGTTGGGGTTTGTTCTCTCTCTTTCCAGAAAACCTCTAATCTGATAGTCTAGTCAGTTCAAAAACTGTTTATCTTTTTCACATTAGTATAAGACATGATATTCCAGAAAGAATAAATTCATTTTATGTTTATTTGTAGCCAAATTAAAAATGGATTAGCCTTTGTTTATTATTCATGTGGACTGTTCACATGATCTATATGGATTGCTGAGATGTCATTGAGTCTACAACCAAGTTATTTAATGGAGAACAAACAATCAGATTTTCTACTGGAACTGCTCCATCTCTAATATTTTTAGTTGTTTTCCCTGATCCTAATATTGCTGCTCAATTTTGTGTATGTGTATATATACATATTCCCTTGTCACCTGAATACAAAAATTGGACATGGGCATCAAGGGCATCCAAGATACATGCTGTAGGTGCCTGTTATGTGTAGGTACGGTGCAGGTACAGAAAAAGTGTGACCAATAGTTCCTGGCCTTACAGACTTATAATTTACTGGAGAAGACAGAACATATGAATAAGGAAACAATTTAAATGCTAGCACTTACTTAATAGATACTAGTGTAGCTTTTAATCTCAGTTTTCTTTCAGTGACTCGAAAACAAACTTAAAATGAGAAATATAAATTTTCTTATTCTGTTCAGATATACCTCCCTGTAGTGAGCACTTCACATAAACTATCTCATTGAATCATCATAGTACTGCCTGTGATACTGTAGATACTGTTATCCTCATTTTGTAGAGTAAGAAATTGAAGCTCAGAGAATTTAAGTTATTTACCCAATCATTGTGGCTCTTCTTTATTTTTGTAAAAATAGGTATTTTTGTCATCTATGATGACAGTGTGTATGTATTTACTTAACATATTTCTGTCACTATGTGGTTGAAAAAAATTCTCAATTCAAGTGTATTTATGGGCCATACATGAAACATTTCTTATAAAGTCCATCGACTTTTTTTCATAAATATGACTTTTTTTAATTTGAGAGGATACTTGACTTCCAGATGGAGAAATAAATTTAACTTATAGGAGTGGAGAAATCAGAGACATGCAGACATTGGTGTTGTATCTTAAGAGAGTTCTAATTATAAGGACCTCTTAAATCTAAGAGGCTATGAAACATGGTGTTTTACATTAAAAGTGGTGTTTTGGATGTATTGCTTGAAGCTCCATGATTTTCTGCAAAAACACTATAGGGTAAGATCAAATAAGAAGATCCTTGCTGCTGAAGATCAAAAGAGTAGATCAACAAGAGGGAATACTAGAACAGTTATTTCTTAAAGATTTAGTACCCAGGAGGAAAGAGCTGTGGAGCAAAAGAATACAAACATGAACACACACAAACACACACATTCTGACATATACTATGTACACACAAACATATATATGTATAACATGTAAACATAGATGCATTTTAGGCAAGTCATTCAAATAACCCCATTTATGCATTTTTCTGGCCGTAAGCATTAGCCCTTTTAGATCTTTATCAGCTGTTTTGTGGAAAACAAAGAATTGATTCATTATTTAACATTTATTAAACTCTCACAATCTATAAGCACTGTTCTTAACAATAAGGATACCACAGACAAGATAGTCTTTGTCTTTAAGAGCTCCCAGCGTCCTGTGGGAAGAGTGTTATTGCAGTGGTATGATGAAACAGAAGTGACATTCACAGAGGTTTCATGATCCTAGAGGAGGAATGTCGTGGAGGGCTTTCTGGAGGATGTGATTGATGTCTGAGATGAGTCTTGAAGAGCAAGCAGCAGTTAGTCAAAAGGAAATGGGAAAGGTAGAAGCCCTTCCAGGACACAGCATGAAGAAAGCTCCAGAACTTGAGACAGAAGGATGTGTGTAGTCTGGGGTTGCTGGAATATAGTGATGATGGAGGGATGAGAGGTGAGAGTGAAGGGGTAGGCCAGACCTAATAAGGCTAACTGGACTTTATACTGCCAGTAATTATGGATCTTTGTAGGATTTAAAGCATGGAAAGGGCCAATTTTGTTTCTTAGCCGATCATTCTAGTAGCTGTGTGGAGAATGGTTTTTAGGTTGACAACACCAGAGTTTGGGATCCAGTTTAAGAGGCTGTTGTAGAAATGTAGGCAAGAGATGCTGAGGGTTTGAACCAAAATCATGGTTCAAGGGTAACAGGGACTGGGTCATGGTGGTGGAGCACTTAAGCAATGTTTAGAAGGTACAGTTGGTTAAGACCTGGTTCTTAATTGGATGTAGACAGATGGATCGGGATTTCTCAGAGTTTTAGCTTGTGTGGCTGGCTGTGGGGATGTGGAGGGCGAGAAATCTGAAATGGAGAAAAGAACAGGAACTGGTTGGGCAGGTTGGAGGTGTGGTCAGGTTAGTGTAAGGTGTCTGTGGTTCATCTAGGATGAGCTGATCAACACATTAGATATGTTAGTCTAGAGCTTGAGAAAGTGGTCCCTGGTGATAAATCTGGGAGTTACCACCTTCTAGATGTATAACATTGAATACACAGCCTATTCTGTGTATAGTACGTTGTGTTGTCTTTTTCTCTTTTCTCATATCTTGAGGCAAAGATTCCTATCTCCATTAATACACAGTAATTAATATTAGACCTCCTGGTTGTTCAGTGAACAACAAAAGCGATCCCAAAGAGTAGGAAATGCTTTAGGAAAGTAGAAGTAACCAAGTGATCATTGTTGCTTTTTTTCCAGTTGTGTCGGTGGAAATGCCTACCTCAGAGGGAGATCGCTTCAGCTGACCCTCCCACAGCTCATTCTTTCGAGGAGCCTGGCTCTGCAGCTTTGTCCAGTTCAAAATGGCAGAAAAGGTCCCCCCTGGCTTAAACAGGAAGACTTCAAGGTCGACACTCTCCCTTCCACCAGAACCTGTGGACATCATTAGGAGCAAGACGTGCTCGCGGAGGGTTAAAATCAACGTGGGGGGCCTCAACCACGAAGTCCTGTGGAGAACGTTGGACCGGCTGCCCCGGACACGCTTGGGGAAGCTCCGGGACTGCAACACGCACGAGAGCCTCCTGGAGGTGTGTGACGACTACAACCTCAGCGACAACGAGTATTTCTTTGACCGGCACCCGGGGGCCTTCACTTCCATTTTAAATTTCTACCGGACGGGGAAACTCCATATGATGGAAGAAATGTGCGCTCTCTCTTTTGGGCAAGAGCTTGATTACTGGGGGATTGACGAGATCTACCTGGAATCCTGCTGCCAAGCCAGGTATCATCAGAAGAAGGAGCAGATGAACGAAGAACTGAGGCGGGAGGCCGAGACGATGCGTGAGCGGGAGGGAGAAGAGTTCGATAACACCTGCTGCCCGGAGAAACGGAAGAAGCTCTGGGACTTGCTGGAGAAACCTAACTCGTCGGTGGCTGCAAAGGTATGAAAAGCGGAGTGTTGCTTTCCTGTGTGTGTGTAGTCAGAAAATGTGTTGCCTACCTTCCAGACAGCGTCATTGTCCTCTTTTGAGATGGTTTGGTAAGACAGAACAAAATGTGTCTGCTCGGTGAGAAACACTTTCCAGAAGCTGATGTAGTCACATAGAGTTATTCTTCCTGCGAGATGCCACGCAATGGCATTACTCTTTCTTAACTATCATTATTGGGTCAGAACAGGCCTGGGCAGCAGAGTCTGGAAGGGTTCTGGTGGCCATGGCGCTGCATAGAGTCGGTGGCTTGAGTTTGCGGAGAGCACAAGCCGGGCTCCATCCCACATGGAGTCCTGCAGAAGGTTGGGGCTTATGCTCCTTCCTGGATACAGGCGAGGTGCTGTCATTGAGGGTGGAGGAGGTGCCTCCTGGCCCGGTTCTCTCGAGGAGCAGGGAAAGAGAGAGTGTGGCCCCGTGTAGCTCAGAGGGCTGTGGGGCCCCACGCCTGAGAAAAGGGCCATCTCCTTAAGCTGTCTCAGGAGCCAGTCCATGTCCACAATGCATCCATTTACCTCCCTTGTGAGGTCTACTCTGACACAATGATGTTTCTGACTCTTGGTGTATCGGTTTTTTCCACAACTGACGAATTACCCTACCTCAGAGTTCATCGTGGTTGCTTAGGATGAAGGCAAACTCATGTTTCCATTGTGCCCACATGCATCTCAGTCTCAGAGAGTAAGTTTGTTTTGCCACGATTTGCAGCATTTAATTCAACAGCATGATTCTGTTTATCTAATTTTACTTAGAGCTTTGAGGGTTAGGGCAAACTGATTTTCATCCCATATATTTAGTTCTGTATTGCAATATGAATTATGAATACAGTGTCAAGAGTCATCTTGAGCTGCCGAGGCACAGTAATGGTATTTTGTGCATGTTAGATGAAAATGGAATATGGAATAGAGAAAAGAAAAATAGCAGAAAAACGTGTCATCATATGAATTCTTTAAATTGCTTCGAAGCTTTTCAGTGGTTCTTTCTTAAAAACAGTAAAGATTATGGAAATGTAATAGACCATATGTGCCTTTTGACTGGAAATTAAGGTCGAATATGATAATTTACAACATGTAAATTATGTAAACAATCAACTGAAAGCAGACGGTCGTAAAACTGCTTCTGCTCTATTTGATATGCCTAGTTTTGCATCCTGGTGACTTCTAAAGGCATTTTACTTTCCGGCCAGAACATGGAAGTCAGTGAAATAAAGTATATCTCTGTTGTACATAATGAGGAAATGCACATCTTGTAGCAGATGGAAAGATTTCAACTAGGTCTTTTTGTAGTTATGAATAATTTGTTTACTTTTCTCTTATCCAGAAGAAAGAAATAAATGTGCTACACTTGTGGGTCTGGGTTGAGAAAGGTTACTGCTCATTTTAGTGTCAAGTGTTAGGTTACATATTTGAGTCACTGCTAAAAGTATGGAGTGAATTTTAAAGATGAAGGAGATAAATTCTGGATTTAAAGGAGTATTTTGGGTGCTAAATGAACTCTTTCAGACCTTTAGGCAATTGAGGTCTAAGTCATTGTTCCATCAAATGTTCCAGAGGGTGTCAGCCATCTATGCAAAACTCAGCAGCTAAATCAAAGAAAATGTAAAGATTAATATGGCTTATTTGCTTATAACAGCGTTATTAATACATATCTAAAATTAAGTACTGTTATAGAAAAAATCTTAAGGTCTATACATTTGTTTTTCTGAAGCATTTCTGTTGAGGATAGAATACGGTCAATAACCTGATTTCCCAGATGAGAGAATTCACTGAATCTCTAAATTTTAGAAGCAGCAACTGTCTCTTCATCTCTAAGAAGGTAACATTGATAATGGCCTATTATGGTACCCTATAATATACACCTGCATATCAGATAGATTATTGAAACTCGCTTCAAATTATGTATGTACAGAGAAGATATCTGCCTACAAACTACACCCAGCAGCTAAGGACAGTGGTTTTAGAAATTTTAATGTAGTTATAAATAATTTGTTTCCAAATTATTAATCAAGCCAAGCCAATCTTTGCCAATCTAAGTAGATTCTTTACTAAATTTTCATAAGGGATTTGTATTTGTTTATTTAAATATCTACATTTTCCTCTCTGTTTGAACGGTGAAATATTATAGAAATTATTTACATTTGATTATATGGTAGTTTAGTGAAAGTATTGTTCATTTGTCTGAGGTTTGGAACCTTTTAAAAACAGCTCTGTATGATGTCTTATATAAATCACTACCTTTTCCTATACTCTTCTTGAATCATATAACTTGTTGTTTCTCTAGAATAATTCTTGGTGAGGTGAGTGCCATGTGTGAATAGCATTTTTACAACTTAGGAACAATTTGTTTTGTTAAAAGTGCAGTAGGATGATACTCTGGCCCTCACTATTTATGTTATGGGTACATCAGGATCCTGCTTATGCTGTGAAGCTCTTGTGTTGGAATGCTTGGAATCTATGTGTTTTTCCTAACTTGCTTAGGAGGTGAGATATCTTTGGAGGAGAATATCTGTTTACCTTGCCTCTGCAGTGATTGCTTATTCAGTTGGGTAGTTCAGTTGAACATATATAGAAGGCTCTATGCAGGTGACACACATTAAAGTGGACATGTAGAAAAACACTCCCTTCTCTCCAGAATTTAAAATATATTCTCTTAGCTTACACAGGAATTTCATATCCTTGAAACTATTTGTTTTCTTCACTTTTGGTTTTTCTGTCTTTTATAATTTATTGAATATTTCTGTAATAAAGTTTAAAGTTATGAGTTTATCTGCCAAATCCCTAGCATAGAAAGAAAAATTTGACCTTTTCTATCAAATATTCCACAATGGGTTAAAATATCTATTCAGTGACATGGAATAAATACTCAGTAATCAATTCAGTAATAATTGTTCAGCCTAGGCTATGTGCATCCACTATGATACACAAAAATTTGCAAGTCCCCTTGACCTGTTGTGTTTTGTCCTTGGGTATGATCCTAAAAATAACAATTTGGCTCTTACAGAACATGCTTCTTGGTGTCACTTCTATTAATTAAACTTTGTAGTATATAAATAACTGGGAAAAAATGCCAAAACAGAGTTTAAACGGGTGGTATATCTTAAATGTCTATATTTCACAAATCAGCATTTTTACACATCCACAGAATAACATGAAATATAATTGTACTTTTCACAAAATAATAACAGGGCTAATAGAAATTGTTCTTTCATAGTTTTCCGTGGTGCGGTATGATCTGGTAACGTGACCCGAGTTTATATCTGTATGATGGACTTTGGATTCTTTTAGTCTTGTTAGATGGGGACTGTCTGTATACCCTCAGGTAGAGATACTGTACAAAGTTTCAGTTTGAGGCTTTTTGTGAATGTAGGGCCCACCAAATGGGCCTGGAGGAGGGCTGGCCCAAAGCTCTGGAATTGCTGGTTCTGGCATGCCTTTCATAGGAATGTGCAAGGGAAGAAGATGGGCTTAACTGGCTGCCAGTTTCCTGGGCAGTGAATTGGAATTAGACTTGATCCTGTACCTCTTCCAGCCCTGGGCAATTTAGTCAGCCTCTGGCTTGGAAATATTTCTTCTCCCTTTTCTTTGGCCTTTTCCCAAAGGGACTGCTATTTGCCTTTAAATTTTGCATTACAGACACTTCAGTCTAAGAGGTGTTTGAAAGCCTTAAAGGAAAGCATGTGGCATGTGGTATTGTCTGCCTTTGTGATGAAACAACAACCAACAAGGAGCAGGGCCCACCTGAGAGCTGAAAAGAGAGACGCAGTACTGCACAGTGCCTTCACTTTAGATATCTGAAGAAGGTCAAGAGCAAAGGACATCAACTGTGTCTTTAGGCAAACCCAGTTAGGAAACGGCTCAGCCTTCTGAGGCAAGCCTCAGCCTGGGCACAGACATGGATATGGTGTTCAGGACAGTGCCGGCCAATGGGCTCATCTCAAGTGTCAGGTCGGGAAGCTAGACTTTAGCCCTTATTTGATAAGAACAGTATAAGGCTGCAGAAAGACGTTTCTGTTCATCGGAACCCATACAGTGAGAACCACCCAGCAACCCTGTTGGGCAGGATCCAGGGTCAGGGGGACGGCTGGGGGGGGGGGAGGTGCTGTTTCTTATCGGCTTCCCTTCCCACTTTTCCTGTGTATCCACAGCTACCACTTATTTACCTAAGGATTTTCCCTCATCCTCTTATGTTTTTCCCATTCTCTCCTCCTCCTCTCTTTCTACCTCCTTCCCTCAGAAAAGGGACGATGATTGACTAGAGAATTATTTCTCAACCTTTTTTCATTAATGGCCCCCCTAAGGAGAAAAATTAAGTTAAATTTAAATTCTCCCTAAAGAGAGAAACTAAATACTAAGGAATTAGATTTTGTCAGGTAGGGTAGAGCGTGGAAAGCTACAGACTATTGTAATATCTAAGATTTTTTTCACGCTTCCCCACAAGAACCAATTTCTCCCACTGGCAGTGACATTGATCCCATGGAGAATGCATACGATCATGGAAAGGAGACCTGCCTCCAGCTCCTTGCCTGCACACGCCCACATGACCGTCCCCATTGGCACAGCACAACACCTAAAGCAAGCATGGGGAGGCTCGGGAGACCTTAGACATTGTTGGATCAAGAGAGAGGCCTATAGGAGCAGATGCACAGAGTCTTCCTTTGGGACTCCAGCTCTCTGGAGAGAGCCAGAGGTCAAAGTTCAGAGTTTCTCAGGGGATGGCGCCTGTTTAGTTGCCCTATTGGTGGTAACTCCTTGAGAACCACACTCTGCCTTCTGACTGAATTAGAGTGTGGGCATCTCAAGTCACAGAAGTAGTGAAAAGAAAATAAGTCCAAATAAAATAAAAACTCCTGTGTACTCATAAAGGGGAAAAGGGTGCATAATATTTTCATTCTATTTCTAGTTTATGGATCAGTTATTCTAATGCTTTGGATGAAAAAAAAAGAAATATATTGGAACAGA